GGTATATGGAGAAGGCGATAGAGTCCGCGAATAGGAGGGGCGGCACCAGTACGCGACGATAATATGCGGCGACACGGTTGAGGACAACCCTGATGAATGCTGATCGGCTCTGCTGGGGTTGTCTGTGTCTAACAAATCAGAGGAAAGAGGAGGGGTTTTTAGTGGGTATGGCGATGTCACCTGCCGAGTCCTACATAACCCGGAGACGTGGGTCTCTGGGTATGCGTAATAGCATTTTCCCCTCCTCGCGCGCAAAAAAAGGCGTAAAATACATTTGGTCGTAAAACTGTATGCTTCACGCTACAGTGAGACATTCTCAATATATCCTTACTATAGTTAAAAGAGAAAAGAAATAAATCTGGACAATAGGATAAATAATTATACTAATCGCAAAATCAGTAAACAAACTGGTAAGCACTATCGTACTGCATTCTTTGATATCGATTATGAAATTATATGAAGGTACGGATTTTCATTATACAAATAGGTTTTAGATATTTTCTCATGGAGGAATTGCGTTACTTTCGATTGGTATTAATTCCAGTCCGAGGGTTATGCATGAGATGAGCGTCCTGAAAAGTATGGTTTAATTCTGTTACCATGTATCTTTTTAATTTGGTTATTGATTAAAATCTCGTAACAAGGAGTCATAGCTTTTTTTGATGTGGTAAGGACTTAACCATTCATCGTCCAATTTATCTGCTTTGTGTATCATTAAGTACAAGAACTGTGTCTCCTTCTCTAAATACCGTTTGTGGTTTAATGATTTTTCTTTGTTGGTCTCGCATGTAACGTTTTTTACTTTGTTCAAGTATTTGTCTAGCTAGTGTTTTGTATTTGTCTAATTGTTTTTGCCATAGTGCGAACATGCGTGTAGTTGGAGGTTCTGGATATTGAGGATGGGAGGTTAGGTTTTCGTCCAAACGTTAGTTCAAAAGGTGAAAAACCGGTTGCATCGTGTATCGCTGTGTTATATCCTAAGCACATGAAGTTTAATACTTCGTCCCATTCTTTGTCTGAGTCGTTTCGACTTGTTCGTATCATGTCTTGTTGTAGAAGAAAACCCGGAACAACAGCACCGGACTCAAGATAGGAGAACAAGCATAAAAGAATCAGAAACAACAGGCATCTCGCCACGCCGACTAAGCGAGCTGCAGCCCGATAGGGCAGGTTTAACTTGTCCAATGACCCGAAAGGAGAGGGCAGCGTTTTTCCAAGTCGCGCGCCGACCACCTATGCGCGCCGTTCCCCGGGCAATGGACGCTTGAAAGTAGACGATAATTAACGAACACCTATTTAGCGAAGCCAGTGTGAGTTCTATACTCCAGGAATGGCGCGGTCGGCCTCAACGCCGAGCCCTTCCACGCTCAAACTACTTGTTACTGGAATTTATTTTATCACTACCAATGTATATTTTAATGTCATAGCAATAACCCGATTTTCATTCACGTGATTTATAAAATTGTATACTGAATCTTGCCCCTTCCAATGGATTAAATTGTTTGTAGGATAAGCATCCACTATTGTTCAGAATTTTGAGTGGCTGTTCGTTCATGGCACGGACAGGTCTATTCTCATCTTCAGGAAAATCCGAATTACATGACCTCCCCGAGCTGTAAACCTAATGACTCCGAGGTCAAGTAAAATACCAGGAAAGAACCAGTCAGAAGGGCTCAATGGAGAAACGAAACCCAACGACTGGTAGGGGGAATCAGCAACGTAGGAAGACAGTTCATCAGCAGACTCCATACCGTGCAGGTGAAATACTTCACTTTAACAAGATCTTACCACCGCCGTGTTCATAATATCAAACGTTACTTTTATACAACAAGTGCAAATACAGTTCTAAACTACTCTAATACTCGATCTATTAAACCTCCTCCACCTTGAGCGTTTATTCGTTCGAGGTACGCGATTCGACTTGCACAACGCTTAACATTCGTTTTGAAAACATTTTTAAGTAACTACACGTGTTTGTTTATGTTTGGCCCGAAGCACGTTCCTCGCGTGTGTTGTTTACGTATGAAAATGAAAACTGGCCCTTTCATTCCTGGGCCGCAATTAGTATGAATAGTACGTGCACAGTTCGATGAAGAAGTACATCCAGAACTGTGTCGACGACTGTTACGGAACAATAATTTACATGCGCCAGTTGCAAGAAGAAAACCATTCATTAGCAAGAAAAATAAAATTCTACGTTTAAAATTTGCTACAGAATTTCTTAACAAGGATAAGTTGTGTAGCTTCACATGAGTTGTAGGAGGAGGCAGATCGAGAGCGTTTCATGTTGTTGTTGTGTTTCGGAACACGGACACAGCCTTGAGGCTCGAAACATATCGATAGACAAAACAAAGTCACCTTTATGGGCAACCGCCGATCTTAGACAAATTCAAATCCCCCCCTAGTATAAATATAGGGACGCGATCGCGGGCGAGACAATATTATACCGAGTGACATACACTATGATATGTGATACTATCATATAACATATACTATCGTTGCGAATACAATGAACGAGCGTCTTACGACAGTTTGTACTTTATTTATTTATTTAATTATTTAACTTATTCCAAATATATTTGACGGGTTGCGACGGTAATCTCTTGCTCTCGTTATTTTACGTCATCTATCCTCAACCAATCCCTCCACATTGGTGACCCTGACGTGATCCTGCGAGACTTCGATTATACTGATTCCGAGCGCACTAACAATATGTCGAACAAGAAAACAGTTACGACCAGTCAAGTAGTACGCGCGCCTCCACTGATGCCTCAGAAGATCGTGTTATGGTTCTCCTTACTAGAGAGGCAGCTCGCGACGCCGGACATCACAAACGATGAAGAAAAAGCCACCGCTCTTCTAGGGTGCCTAGAATCAGAGTATCTAGAGCGAATTGAGGGCATAACGTTGCATCCTATTATAGTTGTCTACGTAGAACCATAAAATGGTATAAAAAAATTGAAATGGAATTATTATGTGGGGCTCGTAAATGCGTGGTATATACATAGAAAATGGTGTACTAAAAGTATTAAAATTTTAAAATTTCGCGAAGAAATTATTTATCACCTTTTAAATATAGTGAATCCCCACAGAGAAGAAATGTCAAGTGAAAATGAAGTACTGCCCAAAAAACGATCACATTTTCTGCAATCGTACCAAGAGCCCGCGAGCAAAACGAAACGGCGGTGTAAAGAAAGTTGTAAACGCATTTCTAGAATAAAAGGTAGAGAGTATGCCGCGAAAAGAACCAAAATGGTAACAACATATTGTGATCGTTGTAAGGGTCAGTCGGCACTCAGTCGAACTTGTTTTAAAAAATTGCATGAAGATTTGAGATAAAATAATATAAACCTATTTTGTACTACCTACTTTGTGAAACACGTGTGTGACCCATCGCCGCCTCTCGGGACAGACACGTGTGACCCGCCAATGGGGCACGCCGCCTCACGGGACAGACACGCGTATCACGTCTGTGTCAACGTGTTAAACTGTGAGGGGGATGCACTCGCAGAATCACTTATGGGATGTATTTATAAACATGTTATGGAGTAACCCATTGATCTAATCGTGTATAAGAGGGATGTCATTTATATTTCCTCATAGGGAAATTATAGTTAGGTTGTGGATGGCTTATTTGGGATGAACTGGCTTTGCTTATGGACTATTTTGGTATTCTTTTGGGAAGGCAATTACAAGATAGTACGATGAATTTGGCCATGCCCTTGGACTATGAGTATTAAACATGAATACAGGCAAATGAGAGGAGGAGGGTCGGTCCCAGGGTCACCTCCCACTCGGATAGAGTGACCGAGGATCGATCACAAGCTGCGAATGACGGTGAAAGCGAGAGAGCAAGTCGCGCAAGAACAGGCGCAAGAGCATGTCCACCAAGCTTACCGTAGGAGCGAGTGATTCGCCGATAAGAGCCGAGACCGAGGAGGTCTCGATTACGCCGTTAGGTAAGAAAGATAAAACGAAGGGGAAGGACCTGTTTAAACCAGGGTGGAATTCGGAGAGGAGAAGGTCAGGCCATACCAGGTTATGGCCGATAGGAGGATCATAGCGCACTGCCGGGACGGCGTCGTAACGAGGAAGGTCGGTACGGGGGTTCCGCAAGGGTCGGTCTTAGGGCCGCTACTGTGGAGCTTCGTGTACGACGGAATTTTGGAGACGCTCGACCGGGAGAAGGACATCGAGGCCGTGGCGTTTGCCGAAGACCTGGCGGTACTCCTTAAGGCCAGGGAGTTCCTCGGCATCCAGGACAGGATAAGGGCGGTCATCAGCACGGCCACCAGTTGGTGCAGCGACGTGGGACTTCATCTGGCAAGAGAGAAGACCTAACCAGGAAGAGGATACCGACGAGTTTTAACTTCGACGTGTGGGACGGGTGGGAGATCTCCACTAGCAAGACAGTAAAGTACTTGGGAGTTTGGTTGGATAATGCTAGGGGGTTCTCCCCGCACCTCGCATCGGCGTGGGGCAAGGCGGAACGGTTCTTGGGCGCCATACGGGGTGTTCTTGGGCGCCATACAAGGCCTGCTCCCCAACGTGAATGGGCCTAGGGACGCGGTCCGAAGGCTCTATTATGGGGTATGGAAGTCGGTGGTCCCGTATGGTGCACCTATATGGGCCTCATCCCTGGTCAAGGTGAAGAACAAGAATATCATCAAGAGGGCACAGAGGGCGGCGATGATCCGTACGTCTACCGCATATCGTACAGTGTCGCACGGAGCCTTGTGCGTGGTGACGGGTAGCATGCCCACACACATTAAGGCGTGGTTGCGGTGGAAGCAGTACGGCGTGAAGAGGCGGATCGTTGAGCATGCAGAGGGAACGGAGCCGGCATTTTACGAGGAGATGGAGAGGCTGAAGACCGAAGCCGAGGACAGATGGAGGGTGGAATGGACGTTCCACAATTCCTGGAGCTACCTTCCTACAAGAGGTTGATAGAGTATCCGTTGATCTTTTACAGAACGAAGAGGGGCGTCAACTACCACGTCATGCAGATTCTTACTGAGCACGGTATCTTCAACTGGTACCGTCACAGGATTGGGAAAGAGACGCACACCAGTTGTTGGGATTGCGAAGCCGTCGTGGACGATGCCGAGCACGTGCTGTTCTGGTGCCCTAGATGGACAGGGGAGCGCGCGGAGTTGGAGGCCGAGATAGGAGAAGAATGTAGGATAGAGAACCGGATCGTGGAGAAGCTGGCCGCCGAGGAGCGGCTATGGCTCAAATTTAGCAATATGTGCACCAAGGTCATGACGAATCCGCTTAAGAAGGAGAGGGAGGTGGAGGCTCTGCGGAGAAGAGAAAGCAGGAGGAGAGTATAGCGTAGAGGATTGCCGATGAAGATGGGTACGCATAAGTAGAGGCCAACCTGAAGTAATGTCGAATGATTGTACCGAGTTGGTACCTCGAGTACCTCAATGCAGTGAACAGGAGGAGGGGTTTTTAGTGGGTATAGCGACGTCATCTGCCGAGTCCCACATAACTCAGTGACGTGGGTCACTGGTTATGCGTAACAGCATTTTCCCCTCCTCGCGCAAAAAAGAGGCCATACCAGGTTACGCGTCATGGAGAATAGAAAATTTTCATCTTTAACGAATTGGAAACATCGCCGTATGTTTTTTTGCGCCATGACACGATAGGGGACCCTTTACAACCGCAGTAAGACGGAGCATTTAAAGTTGGAAAACGAGATGAAAATATTATATTATTAAAATAAATAATCACGACGTAACGGTTTCCATAGACCGACTAAAACTCGCGTTTATAGTTCCGGACGGCCTACAGGAAAAAACAGCGGACAGGATGGAAGACCCGGAGAAGTTAACGTGTCCACGAAAAGTTCCACACGATGGAGGAGAGTAGGAAAAGGAGCGGTCAGTGGGGAAGCAAGTTGCCTGCCGACCGAAGCAATAATAAGAAAACTACGTCACCGCCCGATGATAGGAATTCGGACTGAAAGAAAGGCGCGAAGAGGGGGAAGTCTCCTACGCGGAGGTATCTAGGGAAGGAGAAACGGACGACGAGGGCCCTAGGTCAGAAAAATTAGCGACTCTAGAGGGGAGTGTACAGATCAGGCGAGTAGGAGAGAAAGGAGGCTTGAGAAAAAAAGGAGCAGCAACGAGGAAAGGAGGCCACCGACTAGCAAAGGTCGGATGAATAAGGTGATAAGAACGCGAAATGGACCGGAGACCCTGTTGGTGAAAGTCCGGGAGGGAGAAGAATGGCTCCAGATGAACAGGGAGCTTATTTAATTTAGCTAATTTATTGGGAGCTCGGGCAAGCGTAGCAGGAAGTCAGAAGGATACCTTGCAGAGTATTATAGAATAAACCTGCGAGGGTTTAGTCCGCTTAAACCGATCAAGAAGCTACAGAGAAGTCTGATTGTAAGTGGAAAAAAGGAAGCGGAGGCTGGCGTTGAATTGGAAGGTAGTGACGTAACGTTCGGCGTCGGGGATAACGATCAGAGCACGCCAATTGCAACAAGAAATGCTAAAGGGGGAAAGTATTTGGTGAGGAGAGCAGTCGATAAGACACGTAAGACATATCTTATGACATTGCCGTAGCAAGCCGTTGCCTGCGAGTAGCGAGGTAGAGACTAGCGTGAGGGAGGATAACCACGTTCAGAACTGTTATGTCGAGGGAGAGGAGATAATGCTTACGATTGGTGAGATCGTTGTGGAGAAATCGGTTCCCCGCCCGCATCAGGCGCATACTCGCCGTCGTCGACGATTCCGACCTAGACAAACTGATGCCATCAGCGGACCTCATCGCGGAGTAGTTCAAATGAGATACGGGACACACTTCGCAGGTAGGAATAATAACAGACCACCCGGCGCACGCGGAACCGTCTGAAGCTCCCTGGCTCGCGCTTTTTAATACATTTAACGACCAGATGAACCAATTAAGAGCCGAGGTGAGTGCGATTAACCAGCCACCGCGTCGGCACTGGCGATCAAGAAGTCGGAGCCGTTCCAAGTCGCGAGAATAGACGCATGATTCCGGCCTTTGTTATTATCATGAAGTATTCCGCGAACGTGCGAGAAAGTATCGATACCGGTGCTGACACTTGTGTTTATCCGCGCAGGAAGATCTGCGGACACACGAACAAAACCGACTACGAACTGTTCGCGGCCAACGGAACGCGGATCGCAGCATACGGTATCGTTACAGTTTCCCTCAATTTATCGCTACGCCGAGCTTTCAAATGACGTTTTGTAGTGACCGATGTGCAAACGCCTATCATCGGTGTTGATTTTCTGAGACATTACGGGTTGCTGGTAGTCCCTCGCGACAAACGGCACTTCGATACAACAACCCGACTATCGACGAAAGAATTCGCCGCCACGGCTGACGTGGCATCGATTAAAACAATTACTAGAGATTCACTGTACCACAGACTGCTGGCGGAATTCCCCGATCTCACGAGACCGCCAGTGTTCCGAAGAAATGCAATACGGCATGGGGTGCAACATTACATCAGCACGACGCCCGGACCTCCTGTCCACACCAAACCACGCCGACTCGCCCCAGGCCAACTCAACCAAGCGAAAGCAGAATTCGAAGTAATGATCGAACAAGGTGTGATGCAGCCATCGAGAAGCCCGTGGGTATCACCTTACATATCGTACCGAAAAAGGACGGACGATTTCGACCGTGTGGCGACTATCATCGAGCATTGAACGAGCGCACCACCCCGGACAGGTACTCACCACCGTACATCGAGGACTTCGCGCAGAATCTCCATGGTAAGCGGATGGATCTCCATGGATCGGAATCAAATTTCGATCGCGCCGGAAGACTGAAAGATCGCGCTGAAAAAAGCGATCACAACACCATTCGCGCTGTTCAAAGCGACCAATATGATGTTTGGGCTTCGAAAAGCCGCTCAAACATGCCAACGATTCGTAGACGAAATCACAAGAGGTCTCGATTTCGTCTATGCGTACATAGACGACTTTTTAAGACGACTTGTGTCCAAAAACGAAGAACGACACCGCGAACACTTACGGGTTTTGTTCAATCGCCTTGACGAGTACGGGGTCGTGATATATCTCGCGAAATGCGAATTCGGCGTGAGCGAAATACAATTCCTCGGTTACACTATTGGCTGAAAGCGTTGACGCAATAATTAATGTACTATTACCCGCGACCGTTAAAGATCTACGAAAGTACCTCGGTATGATCAACTTTTACGGAAGTTTCATACCGGGAGCAGCGAAAATCCTTCAACTCTCAGTGACTTGTTGAAAGGCACAACGAAGTGCAACGCATCTATCGAATGGTCCGAACAAGCTAAAAATAGCTTCCGCGAGTCGAAACGCACCTTAGCTAACGTGACAATGTTAGCGCATTCGATTCCTGGCGCGTCCGTCAGCCTCGCGGTCGATACATCCGATTACGCCATAGGGGCGGTACTTCAACAGCGCATGAACGATTCCTAACAGCGCCTAGGTTTCATGACGAAATCGCTATCCCCCGTGCAACGAAAGTACAGCGCGTACGGTCGAGAGTTACTTGCAATGTACACCACGGTAAAACGATTCAGACACGCTGTCGAAGAAAGAGACTTCGCGATCTATACGGATCACGAACCCTTAGTATATGCGTTTGATCAGAATCTCGACAAGTGTTCGCCAAAGCAATTCCGCCACCTCGACTACGTTGGACAATTTACGACCGATTTGCGCGAAATCATTAAATCCGGCTCTAGAGCGTTGCAATTAAAAAAGGTACGATTTCCCGATCAAGATGTCGGGATATACTGCGATCTCTCGATCGAAATCCTGCGACCTTGCGTGTTCGGGAACTGTTACGACGCACCGTATTTCCCATGGACTTTCCCATCCGGGGATACGCACCACGCAAAAACTGGCCACGACGCGCTGTGTCTGGCCGTCCGTAAACAAAGATTGTCGAACGTGGACGCGGCAATGCATACCGTGCCAACGTAATAAAGTTACCAGGCACGTATCTTCACCAGTCGGAACGTTTAAAACATTAGCAGGGCGAGTCGAGCATATCACGTAGACAATATCGTAATGCAATATTCGCAAGGCTATCGAAGCCATTCCCATCGCTGACATGGAAGCGCCAACCGTTGCCTCGGCCCTCCTTTCGACTCGCATAGCTCGTTTCGGCGTACCTTTAAAAATCACGACCGACCAAGAACGGCAATTTGAATTGCGATTGTTTGAGGAGTTGCTCGGCGTCAGGCACTTACGACGGCCTATCATCCTGCGGCTAACGGGATGGTAGAGCGCCTACACAGCCAACTGAAAGGGGCGATCAAGTGTCATGACACGAGCAACTGGGTCGAAATTCTGCCGATCGTTTTGCTAGGCATCAGAACCGCGATAAAGGAGGACTTTAACGCAACGGCGGCCGAAATGGTTTGTGGCACCGGCATACGATTGCCGGCGGAATTTTTCTTACCAATAAAGCAGCGGGCCAATACAGAATACGTGAACCGGTTAAAAGAACGGATGGAGGAAGTCAGGCCATACCCGGTCACGCGTCATGGCGAAAAGAAAATGTTCATCTTTAAAGAATCAGAAACTTCACCGTGTCTTAACCTCACAACATGTCTTAACCGTTTCAATGTTACAAAACATTTTTCAACACGGTTGGCGCTTTCCGGATATCTTGTAGCGTATAAAGTTGCAGATGTACACATGTGCTTCTTTGATATTTACTTAAGTACCAAGAGTACGTGCTTCTCATTATTTGAAAACATTTTTCGGGAACAGTTGTTACTAACTTGATACAATTTGCTTATACATACAATGTTTGCCTGTACTTTGAATTTCAGGTGGACGTGTTTGTATAGAATTGCGCTCTGTTTAGATATCTCGAGGTATTTATTCGGCAAGCGAACAACAATTTTAGCAGCATGAAAGATGTATTTATTTATGATTACTTGGAACCGGGAATGTTGTGATTATTCAAAGACGTACAGAAAATATCAACATATCTTGCGAAACGTCGAACCGATATCAAAGTTTACGATAATCCCCTTTCATTTACTCGACATTCATAAATTCAAGATCATATCATGGTTATTGTGATGAATTCGTCTTGTCATCAGTTACAAGATTATAAAGTCAAAAATACATAGTGTTATTTAAAAAAAATCAAGGCGACCTTCATTTTTATCGAAGAAAATATTTTTTGGTAATCTTCTTCGTTAGAATTTGTTGCCGACTTAACATTGAATAACTTTAGTTTGAAATATTTTCCTGTCACATTATGTGAGTGTTGCAAATATATCGTGGACATTTTTTACAATAGCGTATCCAAATAGAATACTGCACACTATCATCGA